CAGAGCCAGGTTGTCACTGCCCCGCCCCGACTTGGTGTCTCTGTTCTGCCTCTCAGAGCATGGCCTCTGGCCTGCACCCCACTTCCTGCCTTCCTCTGTGCATGCTGGAGCCCTTCCAAGCAGTGTCTACACTGGTCGCCATGGGGCAGCCCTGCCTGATGGTGAGGCCCCCAGACATCTTTCTCACACTCGATCTGCCCTTTCTCCCTAGAAATGTGTAACCCCTGGTACCCCTCAATTTGTTGTGGCATGCTTTTTTTTTTTTTAACTTACTATTTTAATTTGACCAGAGGGACAGGGTGAGAGAACAAGAGAAGGAGAAAGCAAGCCACCAGGTTCAGGACTCAAACCGCGGTCAGCCATGTGGGAATCCAGCACTTTTAACTGCCACACCACTTGCCAGCCCCTCTGTGGTATGCATTTGTGTGTGTGTGTGCGTGTTGTTAGGGGGCACATGCCAGAGAGAGACGGCGGGAGAAGAGAACGCACCGCCTATGGGGAATGGTCATGTGGTAATCTTTGTTCCATCTTTGCCTTCCTTTGGGATTCTGGCCATGCACACACGTGCACCTGGCATGTCTGTCCGGCCACTGGGACTGGGACTCAAACAGGACATTGAGCCATGTGGGAACTGGCCGCCTTGCCCACCAGGCACAGAGCCAGGCCATGCATGCACGTGCGTGTGTGTGCGTGTGTTGCTAGAAGGCTTAAATGCTAGCCAGGACTGCGAGGGAGAGGACAGAAAGCACCCTCAGTGGGGCACGGTCACACCACAGTCCCTTCTGTGTCTCCATCCTGTCAAGACTTGGGCGTGTGTGCTCAGTGTGTTTTTCAAGCCATGAGGGCCAAGATTCAACGTTCTTGGTCAGCCGTGTAGACTCCAGTTTTCAGCCACTGGGCCATGGGGCCTGCCCTACTGTATATATATTCTACTGTCATTCGCCTCTGCCTTTTCCATCCGAGACCTGTTACTGTAGGAGGCATTTCAGAGCGGTCAGTGTGGTGCATGTGACCCCAGGCTTTCTCCCTAGGGCTTTGCCTGTTGTGGACATTTCGTGTGAATAGAATTATACATGCTGGGGTGTCTATGTCTTGAACATTGAATCTATTCTGTGAGCAACAGAGCTGAGGCGGCACCCCAGCAGGGTCTCCGTGCTGTGCTTGTGTCCCCCAGCCCTGGACGTGTGTGTCCCGGAGTACAGGGCGGCCCTGGACGCGGGCCTGGAACCCTCCACGTGGAGCAGCCTCATGGGGCATCACATCATACCACTGCACCCCAAAGAGCCGCCGATTTTCATTGAGGGGAGCAGTTCTTATTTCTTTTTTTAAAAAAATATTATTTTATTTGTTGTTGTTATTATTTTAATTTGACCAGAGACAAGAGAGAGAAAGGGAAAGTGAAAAAGCAAGCTGCCAGGGGGACCAGCAGGTGGCATGGTGGCTAAAGGCACTGGACTCCCACATGGCTGACCAAGGTTTGAGTCCCAGACCTGGCAGCTTGCTTTCTCACTTTCTCTCTCTCTCTCTCTCATTCATTCATTCATTCATACATTCATTCATTCTGTTCCTCTCATGTCAAATTTAATTAATTAATTAATAAAGTTAAATAATTCTTTTTTTAAAAGCTTAAAAAAATAAATTAATTAAAATTAAAAAAGAAGAAAGCAAGCCTCCAGGTCTGGGACTTGAACTGCAATTAGCCATGTGGGAGTCCAGCACCATAACCACCACACTACCTGCCGGCCCCACAGTTCTTATTTCTTAAATATTTCCCATCCATCCACTTTTGCTTTCTCTGACAGTGTCAGCAGTTTTCCTCCCTCGCTGTCCTCTGGGCTTTTCCTTTCCTGGCTTCCTCTGTACCCCGCCATTGTCCTAGGCAGGCCCCATCCATGCCAACTGCATGTTTTCCACTCCACTTTTTTTTTTTTTTTTCAGGTTTTTGTTACAGGGTGCATACACTCACCAGAGAGAGGCAGAGACTAGCAAAAATTGAAAAAAACACCCCCAACCTTCCATAGGGATGGCCGCACTGCAATCCCTTCTCCATTCTCCTCTCAGGACTTTGAGCACAGATGCACATGCACCTAGAGTGATTCTTTTTTTTTTTTTTTTTTTAATTTCACTGCAGGGCACATGTGAGCCCTGAAAAGAGACACAGAGAGAGAGAGGGAAAGTGAGAAATCATCTCCTAGGGAGATGATCACACCGCAATCTCTTCTCCAGTCTCCTGTCAGGATTTAGGGCATGCACTCACTCACACTTGCTATGATTTTCAAGCTGTGGGTCTGAGATTTGTGGGATCCAGCACCTTACTCTTTCTTTAATTCTTTAATTTTGTTATTATCTAATTTGACCATAGAGAGACAGAGAGAAAGGGAAAGTGAGAAAACAAGCTGCCAGATCTGGGACTTCAACCATTGTTGGCGACATGGGAGTCCAGCAGCTCAACCACCATGCCACCTGCCTACCCTGTAACCTTAATCTTAACACCACCATGGGACCAGCAGTTGGCATAATGGCTACATTGCTGGACTCCCATGTAGTCAACTGTGGTTTGAGTCCCGGACCTGGTGGCTTCAGATTCTGGCCAGGAACGTGTACACGCATGCCCAAAATGCCAAGAGGAGAATGGAGAAGGGATTGTGATGTGGCCATTCCCTCGGAGGCTGATTGCTCACTTTCTTTCTGGCAAGCACATACACCCTATAGCAAAAATCTCTCTAAGAAAAAAATCTTAACACCACCTGCTGGTCCTATCCTGTGTATTTTTCTTTCTTTTTTTTCATGGAAAGATTTTTTTTTTTTTTTTTTTTTGCTATAGGGTGTATGTGCTTGCCAGAAAGAAAGTGAGCAATCAGCCTCCGAGGGAATGGCCACATCACAATCCCTTCTCCATTCTCCTCTCAGGATTTTGGGCGCACATGCACATACACTGTGCATGAGTTTCAAGGTGCTGGGTCCAAGACTCAAACAGCTCAGTCAGCCATGTGGGATCCAGCTGCCTTAACCACCATGGCACCTACTGGCCCCCACTGTGTTTTAGACTGTGGCTCTTATGTTCCTCCTAGGAGCCTGGCCTGCCTGGGAGGGGGATGCTGGTCTTTCACGCTGGCCATGCTACTCAAGGGTCTGCACGCGAGTCTGAGAAGCAGCCCCCGAGCCTAGACCTTGGCTGGTGGGGTACTTGGGACAGGGGGCGGTCCTCAAGGGCCCAGCTGCTCCAGGTGCCCGCATACCTGCCTTGCATACTGCCCTTCTTTCACAGCAGCTGCTCCTGGGTGGGAAGGGGAAGTGGAGGGCTCCTGTGTGTGGTCCCCATACCACAGCATGGCTACACCTCCTTCCTCGGGGACAGCCCACACTGAGCACCGGCTCTCACCTCTGTTCATCCTGCCTGGGGGCCAACCCCTGTTCTGCCCTGAAGAGAAGCTTAGCCACACATACACACACACACACCCCGGCATCGCAGGTACCAGCCTCCCAGACCTGCCAGGCCTGGGCCTCTTGGGGAACCCATGGCTCAGAGGGTCCTGGCTAAGCCCCCCACGCCCAGCCTCACTTTCTCCAGCAGGTGGCAGATTTGGTGGGTGGGAGCAGTGTGTGTTATGGCTGGGCTCCCCTACGCCCAAGCACCCACAACTCCCTACCTTCTGTGTTTTCAGAGCCACTTAGCAGACTGTGGTCGAAAGCTGCAAATTACATTAATGACAAGTCGTGTGTGTTCGTGGGTTGTCCATTATCCTCGGATGATTGGTGCTCAGGGACGGGGTTGGGATCATGACTGGGCCTGCAGAGTCCTGGGGAGCAGACCCTGACAAGCCCTTGGCGGTTCACTGCACATTGGCAGGAGCCCGCTGCACCAGGAGGACCAGACAGGCCTGGCGCACACACAGGGAACAGCCTGTGGCCAGGGATTAAGGGAGCCAGGTCCCACGTGGCTGACTACGTGGTACGAATCCCAGCCCTGGTGGCTTGGAGAACACGCCAGGCGTGTGCACGTGCCCCAAACCCCAACACTGGGTGGCACAGCCCAGCTCGAGGAGGGCGGAGCCTTCCAGACACCCCGAGGTCCCAGCTGCAGACTCTGTCTCCTCGTGGGCATCCAGAGAAGTTTGGTTTGGGTGTGGGAGGCTGCTGTACACTTTGCTGTTTATTAGGGGTGTGTTCTCACCTGGAAGCCATCCCTGCACTCTGGAGTCTGAGAAGCCCTGATGCCCACAGAGAGCCCTCACACACACGGCCAGGCTGCTCCACAGGGCCTGGCATCCTCTCAAACACCGCTGGACAGGATGATGGCTACTGTGGTCTCGAAGAGGTCACTTGGGCCTCCAGCTCGCTCCTGTCTGTGGGTCTTCAGAAACTGCACGCCCCAGGGTCCTGCTGACGTCCAGGCTGTGCAGCCCCACAGAAACGCACCTTTCTTCCCTCCTTCGGGCCCAGGCCGGGCCTCCTCCCTTGGGCTGGGGCTGGCCATGTCCAGCCACCAGCTGCCTGCCAGGGGAGAAGCACTTCATCTGCAGACACCCATCTAGAGAACCAAGAAGCTTCCGGACTCGCCAGTGGATGAGGCCAGTGTTGAGAGATGGAATTGCTTCCCAAGCGCCTCCCGAGCCCCTGGAAACCTCAGCCCTGGCCCAGCACCATGGGGACAAGCCTGTCCTCTATGGGATGAGTGTGTCAAACCACCGATGCTCAGGATGGGCCTGGGGTGGGCGTTGTCTACAGTGCAGGAGGGAGACCCAGGGGGACCCACCACTGCCTTGGACCTGCAGCTGGGCTTCTCCCAGGAAACCCTTGGGGAGGCATGTGTGTGGCGTGTCCTCAAATGCAGGTCTCGTGTGCAGCGGGGCCCAGGGCTCCAGAGGCCCTCCCCGCTCTCCACTGGGCTGGCGCTCCGTAGGGAAGTGGGCCTGTGGCCTGCTGCCCCAGGTGGCCAGCACATGCTGTGAAGGCTTTGGGGTTGGGCAGGGCTCCCACACCCACCCTGGCCTCCCCAGGTACATCCAGACGCTGAAGGACCACAGGCCTCGGATGGTGTGGGACAGCCAGGCGGCAGAGCACGTCTTCGAGTACAAGAGGTGAGTGTCGGGATGAGGGCCACCTCAGGGTGCAGGAGGGGCCAGGGGCGAGGGGCGGGGTGGGAAGGGCGGGTAGACAGCCTGCTTGTCTTGCAGAAGCCGCGGCGGCAGGCATGTGGTCTTCTACCCGACTCTGAAGGTACGTGCGCACGGGCCGAGGCGTGCTGCCGTGGGGTGGCGGTTTCAGTCAAGGTCGGTCAATCCATGCCCTCCGTGGTGAGGGAGTCAGCTGGGGTCCTGCAGGGTGCGCCGGCAAGCACCCACACCTCGTCGGTCCCACAGTCCCTACAGGTGCGGCTGGAGCTGGCCAGGGAGCTGGGCGTCGGGGTCTCCATCTGGGAACTGGGCCAAGGCCTGGACTACTTCTATGACCTGCTGTAGGCCGCAGCGCAGCCCAGAGCGGGCGTGGACTGTTGTACACCGTGGACGGCGACGCTGTGAAATACAGGCTTGTGCCGTCTGCTGGGCTGTGTCTGCTGCGGTCCTTGGCACACTGCGTGTCCCTGCACAGGAGACAGTCTGGAACAAGGACTCGGGTCCTCCCGCCCAGGCGCTCGCTGGCCCCACACAGCCCCACAGCCTCCCCACCAGCGCAGCCCCTGGGCTGCTTCTCACGGCCCAGGCTGGGGTGGGTGTTTGGGAGCCCCAGAGCAATCCCAGACTCACCCACACCTAGACTCCAGGGCCTGGCAGTGGCAGAGCTGAGGCCCCATGACCATGTGTGGCCTGTCACGGGCATGTGTACACAGCTGCCTGGCACCTGCAGCAGAGTCACATACGTCCCACCCAGGGATGGCTAGAGTGTGGGGGCCATGTCAAGGTGGGGCTCAGATCAGCCAGTGTCACCCCTTTGAAATTCTGGTCCTGGCTTCCAGCTCAGATTTGCCACTTTTGATAATATGACCGCCCCCAGGTGGCCTGGCCACAGGGACAGGTCCTCCCAGGTAGGGCAAGACCAGGCCAGTGACGTGCCCAGGCCCGCAGGCTGAGAAGACCAGAATTCTGAGGCACCATGGCCAAGAGGTGGCCTGCTCCTCATCCCCACCCCTCGGCCGGGTGGCCATGGAGACTACTCACCCGACTACCAGGCAGAGTCTGTCGGGTGCTCACCCCCTGACTCCAAGCAGGTGAGTCCCTCTGCAGCCTGCTGGCCTGGCCTCACGCTGTGCCTGGCCAGACTCCCTGACCAGAAGGGTGCTGCTTTGTGAACCAGCCATCACCCTGGGCTTTGTAGCCCCTAGGAAGCCCTCGAGGTGCAGGACTGGAGGTCCTGAGGTGTGCAGATCATGGCCCCGTCACTGGGGCTGGGGATAGGGGAGGGCTTTAGGAGGTAGATGTTTGTCCTTGGGGCTAGGGACCAGCCCCATTCTCCATAAGGCCCAACTGCCTGACCCAAGGAAGCTGCCCATGGTGTGGGAGGTTCTGCCTGGCCACCAGGGGTGTAGGCAGCAGCTCAGGACACCTGCCAGCTGGCTGTCCATTTCTGCCAATGGGGAGGTGGACAGGGCCTGCCACCTGCCCACATCCCAGTCCCCAGAAACACCCTCAGGGGCTGCTGTGACCCTGCTGATCTGGGAGACAGCCCTGCAGATCCAGGTGAGGGCGGGGCTGGGCCTGAGCAGGTCAGTGCGCTCGGGTGCTGTGGGGCAGGAGTGGACCTGCGTGTGGGGCGGGCGCTGGCACTGCATCACACGTTAACTCCTTGGGCCAGCCCAGCTCCCTGAGGCCCTTGGCTGCATACTGCTGGTCACTGCGGCGTGGGCCAGAGCCTCTCTGCCCCCTTTCCAATTTCAGAGGCCCCAGGTGGTGGGGAGAGGGGGTCTGGGAGCTCTGAGGCCCACCTCTCACATCCGTCGACACCCAATGGGGCACATAAGTGGTCCTAGGCAGCAGAGTGATTCCCAGCTCTGTGGGCAGCATGGGGAGGCACTTGACCAGAGACCCCAGGGCATCCACCCTCATTGGATGACCCAAGCGGGGTCCCACATGGGGGCTACATGCAGGCCAGAAACGTGTCAGGTGGGAGTGGGCGGGGGCCCCTGGGAACTGCCTTGGAGGGACATCGTGTGCTGGTATAGTTGGTCAAGTTAGGAGTGAGGGACACGGGGTGCTGGCAGCAAGCTGGTGGCCTGGCAGACAGGACAGTCAATGGGGCGAGCCAGCTGGTGATGCCCAGTGGGGAGGCTCCACAGCTCGGAGTTGGGGAGGCGCAGAGCCGAGAACGGTCCTGGATCAGACCTCTGAGTACATCCCCCCTCTAGAAGGTGGGTGGGGAACAGGGCTGGAGCGCAGGGCCTGGCCGAGGGCCTGGCCTTAGGTGGCGGGTTTACCCCATCCCCGCTTCGCTATGGTTTGGAGCCCTAACCATGTGACCCAGGCCCACTGGCTCCACACTAGCTTCTGGTGGCTTCTTGGGGTCCTGGGGCTTCCACTGGAGTGAGGACGTGGGGAGAGCATGGGACTCAAGCTGAGAGGCTGAACGGGGGCTGGGTCCGCCCATGGTCATGCCCCAGGGTGACACGTAGGGGATGCAGGGCTGAGGGGGGTCCCCGGGCAGTGACAGAGGGTGGGGCCCTGGAGGGAGAGACCGTGAGGTACGGTTCCTGTGACTGGACACCCCACCTCGAGTGAGGCTCCTGGGCGCCCAGCCCCCAGCCTGTCGCCTTCGAGCTGTGGTAGGTGCTCCACCCCGGGCCCACGTGGTGTCTGAGGTGGTCTGTCACACCATCCCAGTGGCCCGTTCTGTGCCAAAGCTGCTGTGCTGACAGCCCACAGCATGGGCCACATAGCCACATCAAGGCCAGTTCCAGGAACAAGGGACAGGAAAGGAGCTGAGGACACCCCAGAGGTGAGGGTGGGTGTGGGGGACAGCCTCGCCCACCAGGTCCTGTCAGTGCACTTGGGTGCTATGGGGCCGGAGCACCTGGCGCTGGGCCACACGGGGACCATGGAGGGTGGAGGGGTGGGGGGTGGTGCACTGCCGCCTGCAGCTAATGTAAGGGTCCCCGGGCGGCCGGGCCACATTACGGGGCAGTCCGCAGCCAGCATGGGGTCTGTCTGCACTGCCTGCTGCAGAGGCCGCCCTGGCAGGAGAGGCAGGGCTGTCAGACACGGGCTGCTGCTCACACGCTTTATTAAGATGCACCTGGGGCTGCAGCCCCGCTGTGGAATGTGGGTGAGGGGCCTGCAGCCCCGCCTGGAGCACCAGGACCAGTGGGTGGGCCCTGAGGAAGCTGAGGCTGGCCCTGCCTCCCAGGGTCCCCAAGAGGCTGGGGAGCTCAGCTCCGGCCCCAGCCCCATGTGAGCTCGGCTGTGGAGAGTACACGGGTATAAAAGGTGCCCGAAGCCCCAGCTTCGCGGCCAGCGCTCTGCCACCCCCCTTCCGCCTGGGCCAGGGCCTTCCAGGGACAGGGCTCCAGGGCGCTCTGGGCACCTGCTGCTCCCCTCCCCTGCGCCCGCCAGGAGCAGAGCACCAAGTCCTGTGACAGGAGGCACGGTGGAGACGGCGGTGTCCTTTGGCAGAGAAGCGGTGGCTGGTGGCCTACGCACAGTAGGTGTCTGCCTTTACCACCTGGCAGTACATGGTCATGGCGAAGGTCAGGCCCAGAATCTGTGGGGACAGGAGGGTTGGGCAGGGGAGCCACAGACCATGAGCCAGGGGGCCTGGCTGGCCTGCCTGGGCACAGGACACAGCAGGCAAGCCCTGCTTCTTGGGGGCCTGGTGTACCTCACCATGCCGTGGCCTTCCTCTGGTCCCCAGGGCAGGGCTGGCCCCACATGCCCATCTTTCTGCGGAGGTGGCCACCCTGGGCGCCATGAGCAGCTCTGGGGCCTGCGTCTTGGGCCTTGGGTCACACGCTCCCCACCAGCCCTGAGGTGCCCACTGTGCTCACCTGTGACCTGGCCACCCCCTGACCTGTCGGTGTAGCTCTGACCCCACTAGGTCTCATGCTGATGCTTAGGGTTTCGTGCAGAGAAGCAGGGCCCACGTGCTGCCCTGCTCTGAACTGGGCAGTCCTGTGCCCACCGGCCAGCAGTGCTGCCTCAACCTCCCCACGCCTGGGGCCGAGCTCCCACTCCCTTCCACAGGAGACAGCACACTCTGCACTGGGAGCTGGGGCCACCTCCATCGATTAACCCCAGTAGGCCCTCCCTCTGGGCACTCACGCATGGACTGCCCGCCCTCCCCAAGCTGTACCTGCACCAGCGCCGTGCACAGCCCGAAGACGCCCACAGCCAGCAGGTTCTCTTGAAGCCACATCTTGACAGTCTCATAACACGGCTGCAGGAGAGCCAGGTCACTGTGCAGGCCGGGCCCCCTCCAGGCTCCACCCAAACCCCCTCCAGGCCCTGCGCATGCTCACCGCCTTCCACCAGGTGCCTGGCGCGTGCAGCCCGCAGCTCTCGCTGAACTCCAGGCAGCAGGAGTCGGGCACTCGCGTGGCGTTGTACACCTCGAACCAGTCGGTATAGTTGGAGACGCCACAGCAGCGAAACTGGAGGAGAGCACAGGCCCGGCTCCCACCTCCGCGCCAGCGTCCACCCGCCCCCTCCCAAGCCGAGCCGCCCCACCCTCTCCCGGGCCCCCCGGCCCGGCCCGCTCCTCACGTCAGTCTGGATGATGCTCCAGGCGTTGGTGAGGCCCACGTTGCCCTGCGTCCCGTACAGGTGCAGGCCCTTCTTCAGGTCCCGCTGGGCATACCTGTCAATCTGGGGGTGCGGTGGGCTCAGCAGGCTTGCCCAGGGTGTCCTGCAGCCAGGACACACCCCCCAGGCACCACCTACCCCACGCTGTCCTTTCTGGGGTCACTCAGCCACTGCAGCCCACCAAGCCTGAGGACACAACCCAGCCTCCCGCCCTCATCTCCCGGGGTGCCCTCCACAGCTGGAGGGGTCCGTGGGGTCCCAGGTTAGGGCAGGGGGAGAGGCGCGTGTCCACCACTCAGTACAAACACGTGGTCACTGAGCCACAGCCAGGAGCTGTGACAGCGCACAGCAGTGAGCAGCACCGGTGCTTAGATCGCGGTCTCGCACCTCCAGTAAAGGAGAAATGGCCGATTCGGGGCTGAGGCAGCGCGTGCCCAGGGGGAGCCTGGAGCTTCCTGTGGTGCCAGGAAAGAAGTGCCAGAGATGCCCACATGGTGGTGGGGCGCATCGGAGGGCACAGAGCCAGCTGAGGAGCGCCCTGGCCAGAGACGGCCATGGGCAGAAAGTAACACCACTGTGCCGCAGCCCACGGTGGGGCAGACACGTACGGTAGCCCATCCGGAAATAACCCACGATCAAGCAGCGGGAGATGGGGGAGATCTCCCGACGAAGGTTCCAGACAGTGCCATCAGGGACCGCACGGGCTGGGAGGGCACGCCCAGGGTGCCTCTTTAGTAACCAGCGCTCGGGGCCGGCAGGTGGCGTGGTGGTTACAGTGCTGGACTCCCACAGGGCCGGCCAAGACAGTCACACCAGGCCCAAGATCCCAGGAACAGAATGGAGAAGGGACTGCATGTGGCCATGCCCTCCGGGGGGTGACTTCTCACTTCCCCTCTGTCTCTGTCCTCGCTCCCTCTCTGGCGAGCGCATGCACTCTGTGGGGAAAACCTCTTTTGAAAAGAGAAGTGGTGCTCGCCGGAAGCCTGGGCCGGCCTGAGAGCCCTCCAGGCTGGAGGAAGGGCCCAGCAGCCACGGGGGCAGGGGACACCTCGTCGGGGTCCCCAGCAGCCACCCGCAGCCCCACCTGCTCTCGTCGCGCACGGGGACCCGGTCCCTCACTGGGGGCAGGGGCCCATGGCGCTGTACCTGGTCGGTGTAGGCGAAGAACAGCACGGCGATGGTGGCCTCCAGCAGGAAGACGAGCAGCAGCAGCACGAAGAACTGCGGGAGGACGGCGGGCTAGGCACACGGACCCGGCCGGCCGCGGCCCTCGCCCTGACGGCAGGCCAAGGCCAAGGCCAAGGCCACAGCCGTCGGAAGCCTGGTGCTGCTGGAAAGCCCAGCCAGGTGCCCACCCTGCAGACCCCAGCGCTACCCCTGCCCGTCCACAGAACCCGTGGCTTCCATCCCAGGCGCAAGGACTGTGGCCATGCCATGTCACCCAGCCTCTGGGCACGTGGGCCCTGGCCTGCCTAGGCGCCCCTCTTCCTCCTCCAGCTGCTGGGGGCAACCCAAACGCCTCCCAACTGGGTCCCCCGTTCCTGAGGCTCCAAGCCCCAGTCCCTCAGCTGCCTCGAGGACACTTCCACTGGGACATTTGAAATGGATTCCGAACGTCCCCTCCCGGGGACCGTGAGCGTGTCTGCAGCTTCATGCAGTGCCTGTGCGCTGGGAGGGGCCCAGCAGGGAGGTCCCCAACCCCTAATCCACACCCTTCGGGGAAGCCAGGGGTAGCTGACAGCTCCTGCCTCTGACCATGCAAACCCCCAACACCACGTGTCCTGGAATCACGGCCGTAACCCAGGGTGCCCTGGCACACGTTCCTAGCCACACCGCGCCTCCCTGTGGACCACAGATGCCCCAAAGGGGAGCAGTCGGGGAGCAGACCCAGGAGCCCCCCACAGGGCAGCAGTAAGTGGGGCAGCGCCAGGGGAGGGCTGCCATGACCGAGGACGCCCCACCACTCTGCTCAGTCTGCACTCAGTATGAGGCTGTTCCGCCCCCAGGAAGCACCCACGGGCACTGGGTCAGGCGTCCGTCGCTGAGGCCAGGGGCCCACACGCTGCCGTCCCACGGCCCGAGGAGCCTGAGCCCCAGCAGGGCTGCCATGTCCCCCACTCCCCGGGGGTTCCACATCCTAACTGGGAAGGGCTTCCCAGACAGGATGGACACCTGGAGGGGTGGACACGGGTGAGGGGACGCACCCCTGGGAAGGGGCGTGGAGGGAGCAGGTCAGCTCCACGGTGCAGGGAGACCTGAGGGCAGCCTGCCCGGCCAGGCTCACAGACAAAGGCACGTTTGAACGAACCCCGTGATTTCGGACTTGGGCTGAGCGGTCCGGACATGCTCAGGTGAGGTGCTGTTCAAGAATCCTGTTCCTTTTTAATTATCTGTGACTAACGTTTCCGAGGCTGCGAAACACTCCTGCCATAAACCCATCTCTGAGGCTGCAGGGGGCTGTGAGGGTTTCGACCGGGCCAGGGCCAGGACAAAAAGCTGGGGAGGGGGCCACGGGGCGGAGGGGCGTCAGAGATGAGCCCGAAGATAAGAGGCCCAATAAAGGTGGCGCATGCGTGCACACACGTCCACACGCATGCGTGCACGTGTGTGGGTGTGCCCATGCACAAGTGTCTATGACCAAGTTCCAGTCCATCCTCTTAAGAGATCAGCCACCAGCCCGAGCCCTGCAACCCCAGCCCGGCCTGGAAGGCCAGCAGAGGCCCCGCAGGCTGTCCCTGGTCACGCTAGCTCGTCCACCCAGCTCGGGGTCAGTCCCCTCGGTGGAGCTGCGCCTGGGCTCTGTGGCCGAGGCTCAGGGCCCAGACTTACGGTGAGCAGGAGGCACTTGTTCTCCTTGATGGCCCCGATGCAGCCCACGAAGCCGATGGCCATGACGAAGGTGCCGGTGACGATGAGCAGGTTGGCCGCCGACAGGGACGGGAAGGAGGAGGACAGGGTGGCAAAGTTCCCCTGTGTGGCAGCCAGCCAAATGCCAACACCCAGGACACCACAGCCTCCCAGCTGGGACCGTGGCCATGGGGAGAGAAAGGGCAGAGTGAGGCGCTGAATAAGCTCCCGGCTCCTGGGAGATCCCAGCCTGAGCTGGGACCACCCCGAGAGAAAGCCCCACTGCCGCCCAAGGACATCCAGGGCAGCCCCTACCCTCACTGGCCTCCTGGATGCAGGAATCTGGGAGTCACCAGGGCCAGGTGCCCCTCCCCACAACCACATTCTGTTGGCAGAGAAAGAGCTCCTCCTCCCTGCCCAGGATGGAGGGCTACAGAAGCGGCCTGAGCAGGGAGCCCAGGGCCTCCACACTCCCCCCGGAAGCACCCCCCACACCTCCCTGCCTGGGGGCAGCAGAAGGGACCGGGCCTCCTGGCCCAGGCTGGGTCTGCATCCTCCCACACTGCCCTCCACGGCCCTGGCTGGCCAGCCTCGCTAGGAGCCCCAGGGCACAGGGCTACCCACACGCACTCTCAAACCAGGCCTTTTAGGCACTGTACTGGAGGGGCCCCATGGGGCCACCATTCTCGTGGGCCTCTGTGATGTCCCCAGCTGTCCTGCCCCCCACCCCCAACGGCCCTGAGCAAGGGACGACCAACTGCCTCACCCTTCGTGCACAAGTAAGCTACAACGCATCACAGCCACCCAGCCCCGGCAGGAGCAGAGCGAGGGGCTTGTGTGGGCACCGCCTGCCTGTCACCTCGCTGCCTCCCCGCCAGCATCCCCAATGACTGGAGCATTACCAGATTTTATCATTGTTCATTATTACCCAAGCCAATGAAAACAAAAGGAGGCGGGACCAGCAGTTAGCGTAATGGCTATGTCGCTGGACTCCCACATAGTCGACCGCGGTTCACGTCCTAGACCTGGTGGCTTAAAACTCACGCCGGGGTCATGTGTGTGCATGCCCAAGATCCCGAGAGGAGAATGGAGGAGAAGGGATTGCAGCGTGGCCATCCCCCCTGGGGGGTGATTTCTCGCTTTCTGTCTCTCTGTCTCTGTCTGTCTGTCTGGCGAGAGCACACGCCCTGTAGCAAAAGCCTCTCAAAAAAAAAAAAAGAAGAAAAATTAAGGAGACTTGGAACAAGCAGTTAGCATAATGGCTATGTCGCTGGACTCCCACATAGTCGACCGCCGTTAGCGTCCCGGACCCGGTGGCTTAAACTCACGCCGGGTGAGTGTGTGTACATGCCCAAGACCCCGAGAGGAAAATGGAGGAGAAGGGATTGCGGCGTGGCCATCCCCCTGGGGGGTGATTTCTCGCTTTCTATCTCTCTTTCTCTGTCTATCTGGAGAGTGCAGGTGCCCTAGCAAAAAAAAAAAAAAAAAAAACTCTTAAAAAAAAAGGAGGCAGGGGAAAGCGAGGCAGTGGTGAACCCCGAGAGGACTCTGCCTGACTTGGTGATGGAGTCGCCAGCTCAGGGGAGCAGAGCTGTCCGGGCTGGCCAGCGGCGGGCTGCAGATCCAGCCCCAGCCTTCGGATTCTGAAGCCTGGGACCCGCAGTCATTTCAGAGCAGCACAGGTGGCCCTGGTAAGTCCTGACCAGCACCAGTCCCGACCCGGGCCCCCAGATGGTAGCATAGACATCAGGGGCTCCAATGGCTGACAGGCTCTGGGGGAGAACTGGCAGCCCCGAGAGCCATCGCCCTGGGAGGGAGCTGGCAAAGCTGCCCCTCAACCCTGTGGAGCCCCTCAGAACATTCAGACCTCCTGACCCAGGACAGGCCTGAACTCCAGACTTGAGGGGTGAACAGAAGGGTCTGTAAGGACATGGTGTCCACTCGGGGCCAGCATGAGCCTTAGTTCACCCCAAAAAAGCCTCCCTGGCCCTAATGGCCAGACTTGTCCCTCTGTCTTCCAATAAGGAAACCAAGGCTGAGCACTAGGCCACCCTGCCTGCAGCCCTCCACTCCTGCCACAGCAGCGGGCGCCAGGTCAGGCCAAGGGCCCTGACCCTGCCAGGGACTCCAGACTCAGGGCCCAAGACCCCTGCCCCAGGAGGCCTGGAGGTGGGGCCCTGGCTGCATTCTCACCAGCCGGTGGGCACATGAACCGTGCCAGGTGACAGGAACACAGCTCCTGGTCCGGGGCGTCAGCCCACCTCTGCCAGCACCCCGGTCCCTCTGCCCAAGCCTGCAGAGCAGGAGAGGCCCCCGCGCTGCAGAGCCTGTGCCCCCCACTGTCCAGCCCACTGCGAGTGAGCACCGCCAATTCTCCGGCCCTCCACTCCCCTGTCCTTTCTGCAGGAAGCGGGACCTCTGCCTGACGCTCACACCACATTTCCCACATGCCAGCTCAGGGCCTGCCCCGAGGCTTCGCTCCCAGCCAGGCACAAGGAGAAGCAGGTGCAGGAAGAGGCATCGCCCTGCCTCAGGGCACCAGGCTGGGGACTCTCTGCTGACCTGCCCCCCCCCCACTCTGACCCCACAGACACCAGTGGTTCCCAGACGGGCCACTGTAGCACTGACAGGAGCCCTCGGCCCACGGCCCAGCACAGGTGTGGTTCCTGAGCAAACTCACCCCTGGGGGCGGGGGAAGGGGCCAGCCCAGAGGGAGAGCCTGAGGACCTGGAAAGGGCTCAGAGGTGGGGTGAGCATAGTCCTGTGGGGACAGCCTGGGACCTGCAGGGTGTGCGTGTGCGAAGCCAGCCGCTGGTGGGAGGTGCAGGTGCAGTGCTGGGCTTGGGCTGTGCCCCAGGGCAGGGTAGGACGCTGCCAACCATGACCCTCTGCCAGCAGAGACGCCCAACCCACGGGACAGAGCAGGGCCGCCCCTGCGTGGGGGTGCTATCCGCGGTGCTGACTGCAGGAGGGCAGGCTGGAGGGGAGGTGGCGGGCCTCCAGCACACGCACAGGCAGAGGAAGCCTGGCAGGCCTGGCTCACCTGGTCCCCCAGCCCCAGCGCCAGGCGCAACATGCCGCACATCCAGGTGAGCCCAGGGAGCTGGGGGCTCGGCCAGCACTGCACTGCAAGCACGCCCAGCCTGCTCTGGGGCTTCTCAGGTCTCCTGGGTGACGGGGTGGTGGGAACTGGAGGGGCAGGTGGAGCACTCTAGGCCCCATGCACAGTAACGGCAGGTAGGCGCACACAGCCTTGACCAGCACAGTCCTCAGGCTGGGGTTGGAGCAGGACGAAGGGCCGCATGCCCCCCCCCAAGCTCTGTGTATGCCCCATGGACGAGGCTGGAAGTCCAAGGGCTACAGGAGACCCCAGCAGACAGGGACCTGCCAGGCTGACCGCGGTCCAATGCCCAGCTCGGAACGTCCCCTTCCTGGGTGGTGACAGTCCCTGAGGGCTGGCACACGGGATTCACTGTGTGTGTGCACAGTGGGGGGCGGGCGGCGGGCTGTGTCGCGGTCCCCTGCCTCGACCTCCTGAGTGGCTGGCTTTCTAGGCCAGGCCAGCAATCAAGCCCAGGTCTCCCACGTGGCCCCAACCTCCCAAGTAGCAGTGTCCAGCATGCACTGCCACGGCTGGGCCGGGAAAACAATCACTTAAAACTCAAACTGTGCTGCCTCTGCCTTCCAAGGACAGCGGCCC